GCGGCGGCCCTTCCGGCCTCGGGAGCCGCGCGCCGCCGCCTCGTGGGCGCTCGGGCGGGCAGACGGGCGCCTCGGCGGGCGGCGGGCTTCCGCTCGGGCGGCGCAGCCTCTCTCTGTCTCACCGGAGGAGGCTGCGCCGCGGCCCCGCGGGCCATCCCGTCTGTTGGCGACCCGAGCCCCGCGGCCCCGGCTCCGAGCCGTTTCGAGTTGTGCCGAAGTTGTCAACGTTAACTCCTTCCCCCGGCTTCAGCCTTAAATGTCGTGTCGGGCAGGGGGCCCAAAGCTCGCCCGTTGAGTTGTTCGGTAGCTCGGGGCGCTGATGCCTGGGCTTGTATACACTCAGCGAGCCTCTCGGCGGGTTGAAGCGACCGTCGGCGGGTCGAGAGGACACTGGATGTGAAGAAAGTGTTGTGATGAACTTGGTTCCCATAAAAGACATAACCTAATTTTAACGTAGTCGGAGGTGTAATTCCAATCTACAGAAAAGCGTGGTCCCCCCGCTTTTTAAGGTCGCGTCCCTTCCCTACCCGGTTGTTAGAGTAAAAGCAAAAATTTTAATTCTGATTTTGATTGCCACCTTGGGACATTTTAATTCCCAGTGCGTTGACGGAAGTTTAAAGGGGATGTCTTCATTTAGGAACATAATTCTTACTTTGAAAACCTAAAGACTAAGCTCTGGCTTAATCTACTTTTTGGATAGTTACCATGCTGGGGTTTTTCTGGACTATACAAGGCTTACGTTAATATGTTCTTAATGATAAGACCCTGGGTTTGTCATAGGTAATGTTTTAATACCACTTTTTCAAGCACTGTGGGTTTTTTTTTATTATTTCTTAAAGAGTTTATTTTTAAGTAATCTCTACACCCAGCGTGGGGCTGGAACTCAGAACCCTGAGATCAAGGGCACTGCTCTGTGGACTGAGCCAGCAAGGCGCCCCCAAACACTTTACACTGTTTGTTTTCCAGCATGCGGTCTATCTTGTAAAACCTCTTGTGTTGTTTGGAAGAGGGGGTTATGTTTTTTAGGAGCAAAACCACAAGACACAATCATCAGTCATAGTCACTCCAGAAACATTGTTGTCAACACTAAGTCAGTCTCTGCTGACTGAAAAATGAACAAAATTTGGATTGTGATCTCAAGGAACTGGAGGAGAGGGGGTGCTTGTCCCAGAAAGGCTAATTAAAGTAAAAGGCACCAAAGCTTGTTAAGTGCTGTGGAAGAGGCTCGCTGGAGGCACCGGGGAACTTACCTGTAAACACCATCCTAAATGAATGGCCAGCTCTGCTGGAAAAAGGGCCTTCGCTGAGCGCAGACTTAGGAAGATGCATCATTAATTTCATTCTTGAGCTTGTAATCGTGCCGTGACTTCTATTACATGAAGTTTTCTTCCTCATTCTTGTAAAAAGCTACCTCGGGTGGTGCCTTCGCTGTACTCTGCAACACTTTTAGTTTAGAAGTTTATTCCAATAACCTTTTTTATATTCCTGATGTAAGTAACCACATTTCAGCCTGTTAAGAGCCGTCGTACAGTAAAAGGCATGGCTTTAATTTGGGAAACAAGATTACTCATAGTCTCGTTTTAGGGGGACTTGTGGGTTTTTAAGTTCCAGGAGACGTATCAACTCCTAAAAAACGAAGATGATGATTCCTGCTAACTTTTTTTTTCAAGCTAGAAGTAAAATGTAGGTGTGTACCAATTAAAAAGATTTAGATAGTCCTACATTTGAAGTTATGGACGTTTTCTAAATCCAAGCAAAGGTTAGTTCTCTAATTTCTTCTTTGTGATATTGGATCACACTTTTTTATTTTCTACCTTTTATTTCAGTAATTTAGTAAGTGGATCACTAAAAGTTTATTACTAGGAAAGTTTTGACTAATATGCTGATCTCTGAGCATTATGAAATGAAAACCATCTCTGGAAGTACAGGAACAAAGATTGTTTTGATTATAGAGAATAGTTGGGTATTGTTCAGGCGGGGATGTTGCCCATTCTGAGGTATTCTTAAAATAAGCTCTTCGTTTTCAGGTGACTTTCTGAAGATGTAAGTTATATATTCAACTTAAAATACGTGAAGTTAAGACTTAATACGATGAGTTTGCAAATATATATAGTAATCACTTTCCTCCCCTGATAAATTCAGACTTTCCCTTGTTTATTGCTACCTAATAATAAATCAGTGGCTAATTGGTATTTGTGAACCATCAGATTTTGTTGTGGCTAACTCTGGATCAGCTGTCTCAACATAGGGCACTTGCTAAAAAATTGAATCTACAGGGTAACCCTCCCACCCCTGCAAGTCTAACTTTGAATGGGGCCCACCCAGTAAGATTTCATAATTCATTACAGGTCTCAGCCACCTGACGTTGCTGTCACCATGGCTGGATTGCTAGTTTTGATATCATCTGGATCATCCCACTATTTGAACAGTAGTAAGGGAGGACTTTGTGGTATAGACAGAAGGTGGCCTTATGTAGGAACAGGCGGATGAATTCCCCAATAGCTTGTCTTTGGTGTATTGAAATCAGGAGGCTGGCTTACTTCAGACCTGTGTTTGGAAATTTCCGGTTGGTCTGGCGTCATGAATGAGAGAATATGGACTTTGTTAGATAATGATTGCATTTAATGAGCGCTATGCTGATTCTTGGAACAAAGACAGCTTGGCATTTTCCTCATTTTACAGATGGCTCCTGGGACCAGGAGAGGTGGGGTGACTTGCCCAAGCCCAGGTAGTTAGTGGCAGAGTCAGGATCTTTAACCCTCACTGTGCTGTGTTGGTGTCCTCAAGAGAGAATTTCATCATAGAACACTAGAGAACCGATACGTTTTTCAATTAAATTTAGTTTTAAACTAAATATTCCATTTAAGAAAAAACAATAGAGCGGAGCAGGTAGCTGAGAGTGGAGTGGGAATGGGTGAGGGGTCCTGGGGTGGGGTTCGAGCACCCATCACTGAAAGAGCAGAGCAGCGTGTTTGTCAGGAGGCCAATTAAAGCGAAGTCTTCCTGAAATGCTGCCGGGAAAGGGAAAGGTACCTGCTACCCCAGAAACCCACATGCCTGTGTTTGCGTGAAGCAAAAGAAAAGTAGTTTGGCAGCGTGTATCATGGTGTTGACGTACGTACATGTGTCTGATGTCTTCCCAGCAAAATAATCTGCTCTTATTTTCCCTTACAGAGTCAACTGTTCATTTTATTTCAAAATTGGAGCATGTCGTCATGGAGACAGATGCTCTCGGTTGCACAATAAACCGACCTTTAGCCAGGTTTGTTTTTCTTTTTTCTGTTTTCATGTAAATTATCAAAACTTCATGTACTTTACAGAGGCAGTTAATAATTTCCATGTATTACGTAGGATACTTCTTTCTCTAGTGGTTCTATTCTCCATTTGTGTTGGTGAGTTTGTTCTTCTGTTTAAATGAGAATGAGGCAGGGGAGCCACTCCAGGGGGCGGTCCGTGAGACAGGTGCCTCCTCTCACCATTTGGGAAGCTTTTTACGAAGAAGTGGTTAGTGTTTGCGTGTTGGCTGTGCCCGGTCTCTGCCGCCCCGCCACCCCTCGTGCCCCTCCCACAGACGGGTCCCGCGGGGGCGCTGCTTCGGCGCGAACTTAGCGGCTTTTTTGCAGGCAGCAGTAGAAGTAGAGGCCGGGCGGGCTTTGTGCTCTCTGCTCTCCAGGCAGCCGAGAGCGACCGAGCCGTGCACAGGAGGTGCTTGGGCCATTCTCCACAGGGCCAGCTTGCCACGCACTCAGGGCTTCTCCAGCAGTCCTGGGTGCACCCCCTCTTTCAGAACCCCAGGCGAGGGGAGAGCAGTGACGACATGTCATAGAAACATTAAAAATGGCACTTAACCTTAGAAGATGGACATTGACCTTCAGTTATTTGTCCCCAGTCTATTTGGTCAGTTGAGGGGTGCTGCCTGTTAGCTTGAGCTTAGGTCTGCTGTGAGTTCAGATCAGTCAGAAACTGTGATTTTTGGTAGGTTTTGTCTGTTAATCGAAGAACAGGCAAGGGTTTGCACCCTACAAGTGATCACTGATGAGTTAAAAGGAGAAAGCACCTATAACAGGGACAGAAAACTTCCGCCCATGTTTATCTGAACGTTTGGAATTTGAAAAACTATAGTCTTTCCAGACTGAGGACTTTTGAGCTCCTTTCAACTTAGGGCGAAGTCTGAGGGAGCATCCTCTGAGCCATTGGGTAACTATCGTGTGCAGCCCCCGGAAGCTGCCGGACTCTGCCTTTGAGCCCATGTTGTTCTGTTCACATCTTTTAAACTTCTGACAGAACAGACATTTACGTTTTCCTGTAAGTGTTTAGGAAAATGAGCCAATTGCTATAAGAAAGAGACATTTGTATTTTTTATTTAAGCCCATAGAAAACCCCACAGCGTAATGTGTTTTTAGAAGGAGGGTGATGGCTTCCTTTCCCCATTATTCTGCTGATAATGGCGTGGTTGGTATAACAAGAATCTGTCTTAACTTACAAATATGTCTCTTTGAATTTCAGAATGTCGGAGATCTTGCTTTAAACTTTGTTTATTGCAATTTTTTTTAAGTGCTTTGATTTATGAACTAAATCTCCCCATCTAAGCCGGTGGTCATAGATTGGGCAGTAACCAAATGTCATAAGTGTCCACTGAGTTTTTTTATTTTGGGGGGTTACTTACAGATGTGCCAAGTGTTGGGCTGAGAGGGAAATGATCCTGTCAGGAGAGTTTTCTTTAAGCTATCCAGAGACACTTGGTCTATTTTCTATCTGAATCACTTATTCCCTCAGAATGCTAATGTGAAGTTAATTTGAGTAGTGTGGGTCAAAAAGAGATAGTGATTGCATTAATGTTTGGTGGGGTCAGTTGTATGTGTTTACCTGAGCATCTCGTTCTGATTGGCCTGGTTGGTTGGTTGGTTTCAGGCAATCCTGACCTCCCCCGATTGTAATAGAACTGCATTGCCCCATTTGAGTGAAGTTTCCTTCACTAAACAGCCACTGCCACATGACCTGAGTGAGACCTAAAATGAATTTCTTGTTGAATAATTAAGCTCAGTATAGTCTGTATCAGAGTTGTTAACACGTGCTGGTGATTCCAGTTGAAAATGGAGTCAAGTCAACTTTGGGAAATAGCCGGGCTTAGATAAGTTCACCCAGGGCAGTACTTGATGGCTCGGGGAAGATGCCATGCCCTGCAAGAAGGGTGTGCGTGTGTGCGTGTGTGTGTGCGTGGTCTGGCTGTTGGATGTTCCTCCCCTGGGGTTTCCCCACAGCAGACCTTTGGGGAGTACCCACACAACTTCTTTTCTTGAAGGGTAGCTAGAAATAGAATGACTGCTTTTGTAAAACCACTCACCAAACTACTTTGGACCTATGTTGTTGAGACTGAACATTTATTTTTCTAAATCATGCAGTTTATTCGTTCAGCTTGTAAAGCTCAGTGTGGGTTAAGCTTCTTGCAGTGATGTGGACATTAAGATTCATGTAATATATTAGCCTACTAACTTAAACATGGTTTGTTTTTTCAGACAACTTGATTTTAAGAAGAACGGTACAATGTAAGGTTTCAAGTCTGCCTGATCCAGTTTAAAGCACAAGGGCTAAAAGGATTTTTTTCCCTTAAAAGAAGGATCGGAAAAGAACAGATGTTTAAGCTATTGTATTATGTAAACAGAGGTCCCACCAAGCAAACAGGAATGTGTATAGGTGTCCGTGACAGTCAGGACACCCATTTGGTGCGCCTGTTTCCTGTGAGACCAGACAGCTTGATGGACTGCATACAGTTGACTGACACATTTGGTTTTAAAAAATATAATTTTGTGTGGGGAATATGATTATCATGTGAATTTTTTGACATCTTAGCATCTGCTAGCTTGAAGTATAAGAAAACGTTAGTGTGTTGTTACTTATTTTTCACTAAAACACTCAACGTGGGACTACTGAGAATAACGGCTACAGTTCCTTCTTGGTTGCTGGCTGACTTGACCTAAGTCACTGCTCACACTCTGTTTTCATAATATGATGGTTTGGGTGTGCTCTTCAGAGGACAAGTGTCTGACTTGTGGGAAACAAACAAGCAAGCGTTGAGCCATTTGCAAACAAGTTGTCTCTTTGCAATTGTCTAATACATGCACAGCAGCCAGTAGAATTCCCCTTTTTATTTTTTTTTCCCCGCAGACCATCTTGATTCAAAACATCTATCGTAATCCCCAAAACAGTGCACAGACGGCTGACGGCTCACACTGTAAGTCCCACAGTTGGAGAAATTTTTTTAAAACAATGGTGTTAAAGAGCCCACTCTTAATTGAGACAAATAATGTTGGCTTCTGAGCTGCTGACATAGAGCTGTTGCAAACAGGACAAGGTGCTGGAAGGCCTTGGTACCTACAGCAAGAACCTGATACTTGGCCACGTTCGGGAGGCTGTCGTCAGCAAGGGCGCTGGGGAGGCCTCTTCCCTGGGTTGACGTTTGTTAACAAGAGGGAGGGGGTCTGTCCATGTGACACTTGACAGCTACCAGCCGATCACTGGTCTTTCCAGTGCCTGAACCCCTGGCCTTTATTAAGTTCTTTCTGTAAAGTTACAACTCTTAGGAATATTTAGGAATCAATAAGGTAAGTTGCCCAATAAGTGTGGGTTTTATTTCACCATTACAATTTTTCCTCTAGGAAGTGGAGATTTCATGATATGTAATTATTGTATTTCTCTGCTCCTGTGGTTTTTGTCATCAGTTGATGCAGGCACTTTCTCAGCTCATGAAGTTTTCTGTAATACGGAAGACCATTTTGGTAGTAACGTGCCAAGTTGCTTGCATTCTTACCTGGATTGGAACTTGGCAGTGGGGAATCTTTGCGTCCCGTGAACAGAAATACAATATCAGCATATCATGGGATCTCCGTGACGTCGCAGTGTTAGGGCGCTCCAAGACAGCCACCAGCTAAGAGAAAACATCTCTGCTTCGAAAGAAAATAACTTGCTCTTTTTTCAGCACTGAGTCTTGACTGAAGTGATCGCCACAGGAAACCGGTTAAGTGTTTAAATTTAATTTTCCGTAATATAAAGTTGTTGCGTTTTGTATTTCAGACCATTGCCCTCTTGAACATTTACCGTAACCCTCAAAACTCTTCCCAGTCTGCTGACGGTTTGCGCTGTAAGTTCATACAAGTTCCTTCCCTGGTTCCCTGGGCTTGCGTGTCAGAGCTCAGTGTCCGCTCCACCTGGTCTGCCGCTGTAGTGTCAAGGACGGCCTTTCACTAGACATGCCCAGAGCTTTTGTCCCACTGACCCCATGGAAGCCTCTGAGATTGGAACTCCTGCCCACTTAAGAAATGAAAAATGACCGGAAAGGATACCCTCCCTGTACCGTAGTTTGGAGCTGCTGCTCTTCCTTTACCTTGACCGTCATCCTAGGGGAGAGTATACTTGGAATTAAATGTGCAGTTACATCCTTCCCCTCTTAAGAGCAACAGTATTTGAAAGTTTCTCTCACGTTAAGAAACAAATTGTTCTGAAGTTATTTTTGAGGTTTTGTGTATTAGACTTTTTCTTAAACTCCATTCTGGAGCTCATGCCTTAATTGTGAGAGCATTGTTCCGAGAGCGTTTCCCAAATGAGGGTCCTCCGAGTTGCACGGACTCCCCTGAGTTTTCCTCAGCGCCAGCCCTGTGCCGACTCAGTCTTTAATCAGAGTCCTTTGTGTAGCTGTCTGCAGCTGCAGGGGCTAGCTTACTACGTGTGGGGAAGAGAAGGTGTGCTTGGCAGGGAAACGGGGCTAAACTGGGCATTTAGAGTAGATATGGCCCATTTCTTCCTGTTTTGGGAAGTAATTAAGTTACAAACGTTGTGTTTCCTGAGGGGTAGTTTTTTGAGAACAGGATCCATATTAGTATCACTGGAAATTTCAGAAAGCTAAAATTTAAATTTTATGGCTCTTGAGCCATGGAATCGATGTCTTCATCTGGATAAATTGAAACGAACATCCTGGACTCCTCTGTTAAAATCAAGGGGTCCGAACCAAACAGCCTCTCATTCACCAGTTTGTTTTGAAGCTGCAAAAGTTCATAGAAGGTGCTGTCCGCAGATGCCCCTGGATAGCCACAGATCTAAGTCCAACGCACCCTTGGCCCACAGCCCCTCAGCTTATAGGGCGATCTACACTGAGTGGAACGGTCCCGGCAGCATTGCCCACTCGGGCTGGCCCCAGACGGGGGGGCCTCCCAGTTGTGCCCGTGTGAGTGCACGGGCCTGTGGGGGAGGGGCTTGTGAGGTTCTCCTGCCGAGACACCGTGTCTCTCCGCGCTGGTCCTGACCGGGTAGCAGAGCGTCCGTGCCCCTGAGTCTGCTGATAACAGGATTTACTTGGTAGCCCTTGTTTTAAAATACTTGGTTTTGCTTTGTTTTCTTAAAGAAACAAGATCAGTAGGTGGAGGGAAATGCTTACATATGGACTTATTAAATAATTTTCCTAACAACCCTGCCCTGGGGTGAAACGAATGAGGGGTTGGTGATCGAGTAACAACAGTGAATCACTCTTTGCCCTGACCGTTTACCTGGGGGCTGGGGACTGTGGATGCTTCGTTGACAAAACAGTGTTGGGTTAGATTTCTGCGTGTCTTCACCTGCGGCTCAGTGCTCGTGTCGTGCGTACGCTACAGAGTAAGAGGTCAGCTGTACCAGGTATCCGGATCATGGGGTCCAGATGCGACAAATTAAATGAAATTCCGATTCTTCGATTTAGGAAGAAACCCATTTAAGCTGATGAACCCGCAACAGACACTTCGAGTAAATTTCAACCAGTCAGGTTCATCAGTTCCCCTAAATTTACAACTTTTTAACATACCCTTTCATCTGTAGAATTAGGAATCCCAGTTTAAGAGTGTTTCTGTGAGAAAACTGGGTATTTTCAGGTGGTGTTCTATAAAATCTGTTGAGTCATGTAGATGACTTTGCAGTTACCAGTTTCTTAATCACTCATCTCTGTTCTGCCCGAGTCATTTGGTTAACTGAAAATTTTTAAGCGGAGTGTAGAAGGTAAAATAGGCCCACTATGGAGCATTTTCACACCGCACTTTACAGAAGTTACTAGGATACAATACTGTTCTCCAGTGAGAGAATAGAATTATCATGAGTACAACAGCACTTGAACCACCAGCAGAGCCTGATTCTCAACACTGCTAGCACTTTGAGCATGCAAATATCTTTTGTCCTCATTTTTTTTCTGATGTGAGAAGGGAATGTAAACATTAAAATCTGCCTTTTGGAATAGGCTTCTCTTCTCCCGACTAGCTACTCTGTTGTTTAGAGCCTGATTTCTACCCAGGGAAGGAGGCTATGTTCACGATAGCTTTTAAATTGGACTGGGCCGTCAAGAGGAGTAGTTGTTGCCTAATGCATTCAAGAGGTTTCGGGTTCTAAAGCAAGCTGGATTCCTGGAAATTCAAAAATAACTAAAATGCAGGAATCCCCCCCCCCCTCCCCGCTCCCATGCATTAGAAAGAAATTTAAACCATTCTCAGAATCCAAAGATTAAAGTTCTTGTCCCTAAAGAGAAGGTTTCCCAGAGAGCTAGGAAACTGCTCCCGGGCGGCCCAGTGGATAGATCCAAGCGCCTTGGCTCCAGCACCCTCACTGGGGTGCGCCCGGTGAGGCCAGGGAGTGTGGTCATGGAAGGGGGCAGTTGAACTTTAAGCTGGCCCAGCCTTGAAGCCACTCAGCCTTTGTAGGCTCCCTGATCTAGCTGTGTGGAACACTGCTTTATTGACATGCCAGCTTTGTGATTTCTCAGATGTAGGTTAAGAGAATTCTAGAATTTGAAGGGTAACATTTGGTAGAGAGAATGATAATGAGAAAAGTCTGTCCACACAGCGGACATGGTTTCACTTAGTGCATGTGAATTATGAAGAATAAACTTGATGGAAATAGTTCCAGAATATAAAATAAGAATGCTTTCTTCAGCAAAGCATCGTAACTTTCCCTTTATTCAGAGGCATTCGAAGTACTGTAATTAAACTTGGTAATTATCCTACTGAGTCTTTATTTATGGTCATTTGGGTTTTAATCGCATCAGAAAGAATTTTATAATAGCATTGTGTGGCTGCTAATCTGTAAAAGAAATTAGTCAGGAACATTAGCTCTTAATCACTTACCCTGATTTCAACTTCTTTTATTTTAGCCTAATAAAGAGGAAAAAATCAGTGTGATTCCTTGGCCTCTATTTTAAATCGTGAAAGGAAGAAAATTTTCATTTAAAAAAATTTCTTGAGGGTAAACTTTTTCCTTACGCTTTCTGAAAACATGGCCCTTTGATGCTGATTAAAACTTGTTGTGATTTTAATAGCCAGAATTGAGACTGTCGTAGGGGCATTTAAAAACCTCACCACACTTTAAAATTTTAACAATTGGCTGTCACGCAGTATCTTCAGTGCTCCAGTAGAATGCAGCTCTGTCGTGTTTCCTCTCTAGATAATCTAATGTGTGTTACGGTAGCAGTTTGAGGTAAACGCAGAGTTCTCTTGGATAAGGTTCCCTCTCTAACCAGCAAGATTTCTGTTGTTCACAGGCGCTGTGAGTGACGTCGAGATGCAGGAACACTATGACGAATTTTTTGAGGTGAGATACTATTGGAAAGGGATAGACCTGTTTGCCTTTTCTGTCTGGAAGGCATTAAATTTTTTTCCTCATTAATAGATACGCTTAAATAGGAGTTGTGTTCAGGTGCTCCTTTATCTTTAATGTGTCGTGAGCCTTAAACCCCTGTCCTCCCTGCAGGAGGTTTTTACAGAAATGGAGGAGAAGTACGGGGAAGTGGAGGAGATGAATGTCTGCGATAACCTCGGAGACCACCTGGTCGGGAACGTGTACGTCAAGGTGAGGGCAGTGTGGCAGGTGGGGGGGTCCCCTCACTGATGGGGGCTGCGGAGTGAAGACCCCGTGCCTCCGGGTTTGGGCTGCGAACCTGGAAGCTCTGAGCGCTTACTCCTAGTCGTGGATTTTAATGCGCTTCGGCGGTTGCTGGCTGGAGCCCGGGTGTGGCAGCGGCCTGGGGGTGCGGGAGGGAGGGACACCGGGGTCCCCGGCTGCTCCTCCCTGTCGGGATCTCCGCAGCTGTTGCTGACGGGCTGTCTGGACACAGGAGAAGTTGGTTTACATGTGTGGCTGCTGCTTCCCATTTTTTTAAACCTCCGTGGCCTACACAAATCATTGCATTTGCTCTTTTAACCGTAGGAATTTGAAAGCCAAGATCACGTGTATCTGTTACGATTTGGGGCCATCACGAAATTAAGTGATCTGATCGCAAATAAAGGATGGTCTGTTTTTTAATGTGCTGTGCAACATCGTTCCACTTTATTTTACCCTGTGACTACGTAACTTGTGTTTGGACCGGTCACGGGAGGTCTTTCTGGGGAAAGCGCGGGCCGCAGGCATCTCCGCTTCACCTTTGCAGTTTCGCCGTGAGGAAGATGCGGAAAAGGCCGTGATCGACTTGAACAACCGCTGGTTTAACGGGCAGCCCATCCACGCGGAGCTCTCCCCGGTGACTGACTTCCGAGAGGCGTGCTGCCGCCAGTACGAGATGGGGTAGGTGCCGGGGTAGGCGCGGGGCGCCGGGGGCCGGGCTGGCGTGGGGGGGGGGGGGGGGGGAGCGGCGCGCCACATGTGGGCTCTGCTTCCCTGCAGGGAGTGCACGCGAGGCGGCTTCTGCAACTTCATGCACCTGAAGCCCATTTCCAGAGAGCTTCGGCGGGAGCTGTACGGGCGCCGGCGCAAGAAGTGAGTACTTCCGCGGCCTTCCGCACTCTCCGGCCTTGCTGCCGTGCACCTGCTCGAGGAAAGCGTGGCCTGGGTGTGAGAGTCACTGTTGGGGACGTAGGATGTATTTTAGGGCACGAAGTATACTTTTCAAAGAATGTCCCGTGCACACGTTGTCCTGCGAGCCCTCGGTACCTGGGTGAGGGGACGGAGGGGCGGGAACCGTGGGCTCTTGAGCGCGGGGGTTTACTCCCTCAGACTGCGGCACTGCGCGTGCTGAGGGTTTCCTCGGGGGGCTCCTGCTTCGTGTTGGTTTGCTTTGCGGGGAGGGACCACGAGCAGAATCGGGCAGAGTCTGTGTGTCCGGGCCTGGTGTCGAAGTGCAGCCTGAGCCTGAGCCCGGATGTCAGGAGAGGGCCCCTTGTCCTGCCTGGCTTGCGCTCTGACCCCAGGGCTCTCGCCCCTCTCCTCTCAGACGTGGACCGGGAGATGCACCCATTGTTTGGTGATTGTTCCCTCGTCAACGGAGCACAGGAGGGCGTGCGAGCGGCGGGGCCGGGGGAGGCTGCGCGTCAGGGGCACTGTGGTGGTTCCACAGTCCCCGCCCCGGAAGCACAGGCCACGGGGGGTGACCTGCCCGGCTGTCCCGCCAAGCCCCGCTTCTTCGCCGACAGGGGAGCACGTCTGTGGTGTGGGTGCGCAGTGCCCTGGGAGTGATCGCCCTTTGCTCGTGCCGTCCACCGGCCAGGGTGCGGCGGTCGGAAGGTGGTCGCTGTGGGGCTTTGTGGCGGGCTTTGCGGCGGGTGCCACAGTTTTGTTTCTTCTTCTTGATTGCAGGCATAGATCGAGGTCCCGGTCCCGGGAGCGTCGCTCTCGGTCTAGAGACCGTGGCCGTGGTGGCGGCGGCGGTGGCGGCGGCGGTGGCGGGGGACGGGAGCGTGACAGGAGGCGGTCGAGAGACCGTGAACGATCTGGGCGATTCTGAGCCATGCCGTTTTTACCGTATGTCTGCTAGACAGTGTTGTAGTTGATTGACCAAACCAGTTCATAACGGGAATTTTTTTTAAAAAACAACAAAAAAAAACAAAGATGGGTTTCTGAATAAAATTTGTAGTGATACAGTACCTTTGGTGTAACTTACTTCCCGTGCAAAGTCTCTGACTCTCTCTCCCTTTGCAGCTGTGCAGTCATCCGTCCCAGAGGCGAAGATCAATAGCCTTCCGAGACTTGGGTACAAGCGAAACCATGGTTTCAAACTTAGGGTTGTGAGGCCAAAACCCAGCCCCCCGCTAAGGGAAGAATCACCTGGGGAACGGTCAGACCTGTTACCAGTTACCTACGTGTTAACCAGCAGTCGGGCATTTCCCCTCCGAGGCTCCGAGGGAGCGTGCCATGGGGGGCCGGGGGGCCACGTGGGCACTCACGGGGGGGCCGTTGGGTCGGATGCCGTCCACGGCCCCGTCCGTGTCCCACCTCTGTTACCTGCGAGTTTCCTTATCTGCCCGCAGAGCCGCCGTGCACCCGTGAAGCGGGAGCGCTGCCCAAAACCTGGCTGTGCCCAGAGCTGCAGGGGGGCCCCTGGCCCCATTGCTGTGTGTCGTCATAGCCGCTGGCTCGGCCCCGGACAGCTGCAGGGACGTCGCGCGGACTCCCTGCGGCGCAGGGCGGCGGCCCGTGTGCCATGGTGCGCCGGTGACGGCTTCCCGCCTGCTCCAGGCCCGCGCACGCCCTGCTCGGGGCCCCTTGTCCCCAGTGGAGACCACGTCCCCCGGCACGCCGCAGCGTGGTTCCCAGGGACGGCCCCTGCCAGTGTCGGTCCCAGTTGTGGGAGGGGGTGCCCTAGGGACCCCGGGGGGGGGTGTGGGAGGAGATCCTACTTGGCCAGGGTTGGGGTTTTTTTGGTTTTTTGTTTCTTCACGAACATCCATTTTTATGTAATTAGAATCTTTTAAGATTTATTTGTCGAAGAGAGCACAAGCAGGGGGAAGAGCAGAGGGAGAAGCAGACTCCCCCCGCGGAGCAGGGAGCCCGATGCCAGACTCCGTCCCAGGACCCCGGGATCATGACCTGAGTCGAAGGCAGACGCTTAACGACTGAGCCACCCAGGCGCCCCGTAATGAAATTTTTTAAAAGTGATTCTAGGGCGCCTGGGTGGCTCAGTTGATTAAGCGACTGCCTTCGGCTCAGGTCCTGGGACCGAGTCTCGCATCGGGCTCCCTGCTCAGCAGAGAGCCCGCTTCCCCTCCCTCTGCCCGCCGCTTCCCCTGCCTATGTGCTCGCGCACGTGCGCTTTCTTGCCGTCAAATAACAATCTTAAAAAATAATAAAATAATTTTTAAAAAGTGATTCTAATGGAACATGAGTTGTGTTGGTCCCGAAACAGTGTGTACGTGTGGTGACAGGCAGATGCTGGGGGCCTGAATTGGTGGCAGTTTTGAGCTGGCGAGCTAGGAGGTCTTGTCTCCACCCTCCCAAGCGTCCGTACCAATACTTCAGTTTTTCTCCCCAAGTTTGGTCGAAGTTGAGATTGTTGGGTAATTTCCACCGTATCTGAAGGGAGGGAACGTGGCAAACATTTTCCTTTGTATTTCTTAAGATTAGAATCCCCTTTTCCTGTGAAAGTTCCTGTTAAAACGTACACGAAAATCCCACCAAAAGTGCCTTTTTTTTTTTTTTTTTAAGATTTATTTAGAGCGGGGAGGAGGGGTGGAGGCAGAGGGAGGGAGGATCTCGAGCAGACTTCTGCCCAGCACGGCGCCGGACGCAGGGCTCGATCTCATGACCCTGAGATGACAGCCTTGAGCCGAAACCCAGAGTCGGTCACTTAACCAGTGGCCCCCCCCCGGGCGCCTCCAATAAACATCACCACTGACATTGCCGGAAGAAAGACGAGCTTACAGAGTGAACCAGGGCCCTGCACCACCCCTCCTGCCGCACCTGCGAGGGCCTGGGGTAGGAGAACAGAGGGGCCGGCCGCCGGCTCGTGGGAAGCCACCCAGCACAGAGGCACGAGCAGCCTCCCACGCCCCGGGCCCGTGCAGATCTCTGTGCAAAAGGAAAGAGCCACGTGAAGTCTTTGCGATTTGTAATGAGCTCAGGCCCAGGGAATATCACTAAAAGGTTTCTTGTCCTGAATATCATGCGCTGCGTCTTCAGACCGAAACCGAACGGAGAGTGAGGGCAGCAGGTGAGCTCCGCTCTTACGGAGGGCTCCCCAAAACTCGCCAGTTGACTGTCTACCTGAAGCCTGTGCTTGGCTTGCTGTTGGGACACGGGGGGCCTGACAGAAGCTGATGGTGTGCACAGGTGTATAGTAGATAAAATCGCTGGAACCATTTCACACGGGGGTGGACAGGGTCACCTCCACCTGCAAATTGGTGAAAATTCACTTCTTTTGAATGAGCTCCTGTTGGAGAAAGGTGGGTGACGGGATTGCAGCATCTAAACTGAGCGGTTCATTACCCCTTTCTCACCATTCAGGACCCCTTGTTTCCCGAAGGGATAGAACTGCAGATGATTTCTGAAAAATAAAAGTCTTGGCTCATAGCACAAACAGAGTGGTATCACACGTTCACTTCCGGAGCCTTTGTAACGGACGGTCAGGCTGTCACGCGGGGCGTGTAGGGGTGACCCTGGTGGGGTGTCACGCGGGGCGTGCAGGGGGACCCCGGCAGGGCTTCACACGGCGTCACTTCAGCTCGGCGCTTCCCAGATGCAGGGGTCTTTCCAAAGGAACAAGATCAACAACGAGAGTCTCAACTTCTGATTTGTTAGGTGGGACTGTTTAAATTGCTCCGGTCAAATTTCACTATTATTTCATGAAGGAAAGCTTTTTATGTATTTATTTTGAAGATTTTGTTTGACAGAGCACAAGCAGGGGCAGTGGCAGGCAGAGGGAGAAGCAGGCTCCCCACTGAGCAGGGAGCTGGACATGGGGCTCGATCCCAGGACCCCGGGATCATGACCTGAGCCGAAGGCAGACGCTTAACCAACGGAGCCACCCAGGCAGGCAGCCCAGAAGGAGCTTTTTAAGTGTTCGTTATGGACGTTTCTAAACCTGCGGAGACGTCGAGACGGTCAGGGGGGCCCCAGATGCTTTACGTTTGCGTCCCTAACCTGCAGACTTTGCCAGGACAGTCTCAGGAAAGGCCAGGCCTCGGAGAGGCTCCACCCTGCACAACTCCCACAGGGCCTTGTGTCCGATTTTCCTGGGCCCGGGGCTCGGCAGCCAGAGGCTCCGCCAGCACCATCCGTGTGGGCATGTCAACGTGAGCAAACAGGAATAAATGCCTCGTTGGCACTTAGAACGTTCAGCTGCCATCTCGGGGCGAGACAAGCAAGGGCTCGACCCTTGAGAAATGGACGCTCGGACGGAAGAGGTGGGCCAGGGCACTTGCTCCGAGAAGTGCTCGGGGCAGACGAGTCCGTCCCGGGCCGCGCGGCTGAGACCCTAAAGGCTGGAGGTGGGAGACAGGCGGGGTCACCGAAGTCCAGTCCCGGTCCTTGCCAGGCACGGAGATTCGGAGGAGCCCGAACACGGCCACGAGGAAGGGACCTCGTTGGATCGGGCTCCGTCCCCGGTGACCCACACAACCTTTTGAGACTCGAGGAAACCGCTTTGGTTGGCTGTGACCCCACTGTCCCAGGCAAGCGGCAGGACAGTGCAGCCAGGGAGTGTCAGCAGCAAGAGGAAGGCGGCCGCTTCCCCGGGCCGTCTGATGAGCAGTGCGGCCGCGACCCGGGAAGGACACCTCTTCCCCCGAAACGCCCAGTGTCTCACGCCCCATTGACCCAATTCGGCGCGACTTAATTTTCATGAGAAAATGAACAGCTTCCAGGCTCTTTCTATGAAATGAGTATGAAAACTGATAAAACCTCACAAAAATGGGACAGACAAGCCAACTGCAAGGGAGTTTCGGTTCTGAATATGGATATGAACCCCTGAAATAAACTGGCAGACAGCGTCTGGCAGCCCTTTAAAATAAATACGCCGCCGGGGGCTGGCTGCCCAGTGGGTAGATCATGCGACTGGTGATCCCAAGGCCGTGGTGTTCTGGGGGAGCTGCACGACGCGTTCAGCAAAGTACCGCCAACAAGTAGGAAGAGCTGAAGGAGCAGCAGGGCCGCCAGCCCCGGGACGGGCCCTCCCCGCCGCAGAGCCCTCCTCGGAGACCGCTCCGCACCTGCGGCCGCCGTGTTCCTGCAATGCCCGTAAGCTTCGTGAAGCGTTGCAGTTTTACCAGCTTTTAAATTTTATAGAAGCGGCATCTTTATGTATACCTTGGCTTGCTCCTGCTAGGCTTCTTCACGACATCCTGTATGTTTTGCACACAGCTGCCTTGAAATTTGCAGCTTGAGGTCCGCCCGCGGCAAGAAAGGAGGGAGAAAGGAGCAGAGCCGTGCCGCCCACCTTACCAGCTGGAAGAACAGGAGGGCGCCTCCGGGCAGAGGGAACAGCGGTGGGCAACTCCCCGAGGCAAGGAGCGGCCCGGGTGCACCAGGATCCCCCTGGGGTAAACGCACCTCTGACGCTCTGGCTCACTTCCCAGTCACCCACGTGTGCCCCGAGGGCCACTGCCGTTCCTCCGCTGTGGTCCTCGCTGGGGACCGACCGGCAGGGGGCAGCCCCTACTGGGATGGAGCGGTGCCAGCCTGTAGGCCCGGAGCCCGAGGGGCCCCTTGCTGGCTCCGCGGGGGCCCCCCTTCCTTCCGCACGCAGCTGCTCGGGACTGGGCTGGGGGTGGGGGCACCGACGGGGGTCGTGGGGCGCGAGCAGCATCTCACGCAGCGCGATCAAGGACAGCATGCCCGAAGGGGGTGGGGGGACATCTCCCAGGGCCGCGGGGGCTGAGGAAGAGCCTGGACGCTTTGTGTTGAGGTGGCGTCCCACTGCCGTATGGACAATAGACTGAGGCCGGAGGCGGGCAGCCGGCGCAGAAGCTGTGGCTTGAGTGGCAGCGGGGGCGGCTCGGGTGGGCGGCGGGGGGGGGGGGGGGG